CTAATTTTGTGGCATTAATCTTGTGACAATTTGTATGAAAAAAGTACGCATTTCGACTGTTGAATTCAGGCACTACACAGACTTCAAATTTCACCTGCCCCTTAGCGAATTTTGCGAGTCTTACAAAACCATTGGTGCCTGTCGCAAGGTCACTCATGAACACAAATCATCGCACTCCTATTGGCTACGTAAAGCGGTGCCTTTGTGCAAATTGCAGTCAATTGATTGAACAGATGGGCTAGAGAGGAACTAGAAGGCGGTGTCTGGGACTAATCGATTGGTGGAGTGCTTCAAAGTGACTGAACCAGAGAGCTTTTTGGAGAATCTCGCGAAATTTGAATGCAAAACGCACATGTGTGAATGTTTATACCGGCGTCACGGAGCATTGTATTTCTTGTTTGTTATTTCAAGCACTCAAAAATCAAGACAAAGGGGGAAGAGAAGACAAAAAAGAAGACAATGAAGGGAGATAATAATACCATATCGAGCTCGTTTGTTAAAGAATACCCTGTTTATGGATACGCGCACATAGTGCGCTCACAGTTAAGAGATTGGTTGATATTGGTGGTGTCGTCCGCGCCACGCCTAGTCTGTCGACGTGGAAGTCGACGACGCGGGTTTCTTCCCTTCGTCGGCACCGTTGAAGCCCATGGACGCGGTGTAGGGCAGCGCCTCTTCCAGCTGGTTGTACATGCCCGGGTAGTAGGCAGAGGTGGCGAGGTTGTTGCCCACAGCGGGGGGGTAGGCGGGACGGTAGACGTTGCCCGCTGGTGGGTAGTGGGGTGGGTAGGCGCAGGCAGCTGAGTAGTAGGTCGGAGTGGCGAAGAAGTCCGCGGGACTCGGAGTTGACTCGACAAAACCGCCTCCACCGCAACCCCCCACATCCGACTCCGACCGTCGAAGTCGCTGTCCACCACCGCTCACCACAGCTCTTGACGATCCACCGACAGCTGCGGCGGCCGCGGCAGCGGCTGCTATGTACATTTCACTCGGACTGGTGTGCGAAGCAAGGCCTAGAATAAATGATGCTTAGATGAGAAAGTAGTTGATTAAAACAAATCACGAAGCACCACTCAACGGACCTTAAACCGAGCGCCCTATCTGCCTCTAGCAGTGTAAATTCAGACATGCGCAGTCTGCACAAAAACCGCTGCAAGCCAGCCCCTTCACTAACTTTATGGGTGTAGGCGCTAACCGTGACAGTTGTGCGGTGTCTAATTAAGCCCTCGTGTCAGTGGTTTCGACAGCAAACCTGGGACGCGTTAACCAAACAAGAGTCAAATTAGACGGTGGAAATTAGCAAAATGCTTACCTGCGGCTGCGGCGGCGGCTCGGCTGTACGCCGCGTACTGTGAACTGTCCATGTAGCTGAGGCAGGCACCAGGTGAGTCTGAAGGATACATGTGAGGAGCTACAAACAGACAACAGACCCCTTAAGTGTCTTCGCACTACATTTTGGGCCTAAATTCGGCCCTCATGGTAACAAATATGCGCGTTGATTGGGGTGTAATGTGTTCTCGCGCGGGACGGAATATCGCACTACCCCCATGTACTTTAAAGCCTCACAATACCCCACAAACCCGGAGCCAAGCATGCATACCTTTAGAGGCTTTTTTTGTTCAATTAATCATTTTTTTATTGTCGGATGTTGCTAGGCTTTTCACATTTGAACCAATCTTACATCTGGCACCTTACCACCTTGGCCAATCCTCTTGCGTGAAAACGCACATGATGCCTTGAAATCTACTTGGTAACACAGATGTATTAGTGGGTGGTCATTATTACCTGCTCTGTTGGACTGGTCGATCATTGGTTGGACAATTCGTCGTCTTGCATTGATGAACCTAAAGTGTAGAAAAAATCGCATTATTTTGTAGCCAAGAATGTGACTTAAGTTGGGCCAAATGAAAACACCACGATCAGTCACTCACGAGGCGAATTAGCCACAAAATTAGGAGGCAAATAAGGCAACCTGTCCACAACATACCAGTTGTTAACCTGTAGGATTGTCAGCCCTGTGTCCTGAGCTAGTTGCTTCTTCTGTTCTTCTGAGGGGTAGGGATGCTGTAAGAGAGAGAGAGAGAGAGATTGAAAGAGAATCAACTTCTGAGTAGTTGAACCGGCACCACTACGAGTTGACAAGATGGCGTTGAAATGGAACACTCACTGATAAATGCTGGAAGAGCCAGGCTCGCATTATATTGGTGGCGACTTTGGGAAAAATTCCACGCTTCTTTTGGCGTTTGGCGGAGACTCGACTGTCCCCGTCGCAGTCGCCATCTTCGTTGTTCTCTTCCTGTGATCCAGTGGAATTCGCCATGCCGTCGTCTTGGGAGAAAACAACACCAAACAAGTGAGCACATTTGCGTTCATTATTGTACTGCCTTGTGGCAAGTCGATTCAACCAATACGGGACTGTGATGTCGGATTTGAGGTAACTGGACGAGCCACTAAGCCAATGATGGAGGACAATCGAGGTTGTGTGAGACAACGCGAAGTCACTCTCTGCCTCACAGCCATCTGGCAGTGACCACCTGCCGTTTCACTTCAGTCGTAACCTGATATCGCGCTACCATGCGACATTGTTACCCTATAGAATGTCTGCCATCTGCTTTCAAACACTCAATTCCCTCGCGGACTTGTTCATATGGTTGTTTTTTGACAAAGTGCACAACTATAAATAGCAGCAACAGCAGTACCGGTTTCAGCGATAACAGAAACGAAGTTTGAGTCTTGTTTTAATGCGGTAATGTCACGGGGTGGGAATTTGAGCTATTGAATTGTCATAGAAATGTTAACTCCAGTGCTACCGACACCGGAACTTGGTTGAATCCACTTCGCTTCCGTGCTACCATAAGTCGTGGAAACGGTGATATTTGTGTTGTCGACGACACAGGCTTAGTGCAAACGGGTAGTTGCTTACGTGATTGATGAATCATGATTCGCGGGACATATGCACAGAAATGTCAGATTCGACAGGCTAGCGGACATATTGGCAGGAAAGTAGCCCCACGTAGTTCCCCTTGTATGCCCTGTTACGCCTTCCAGATGCTGCTACTGCGAGTAGTAGTCACAACAACAGCAGCAGCTGCAGGGGAAGGGACTAGAGACACATGTGGTGCATTATTTAGCTCGTCCCGTTTACATCCGAAGCCCCCGTCTACTAAGTCGTCAGGCGCGTCCTACCAATTTAAACAAGCGGGCAGACAAATTTTCCCCACATCTTCACTGCTCCGTGCGGTGGTACAACGAAACCTCCTTGCCTGGAGTGCGTTCTTCACGTACTTAATTGCGTCACGAATCGCCCCAAATTCGAGTGGGTTTGACTTATCAGCATCGCACTCATTCACCTCCAAGTAACGCTGGTGTAAATTATCTGATTTGTCAAAAAGTGTCGTGTCTCTAAGACATCATCCTCGCAAACAGCACCGAGAAAATTATGCCATCAATTTTTTTCCAAATAAAAAAGCAGAACAGGCCAAATGCATTTGCCCAGTTGTTGCCGCTTTGACATGAAGGAGTCGATCTCAAGAACCATTCCAATGCCGTGTCTTGGTTAAAACATCGACCAACCAATAAGCGCTTTTGAATTTGACGTGATCTCGGGACAACCAATAAGGACTGGGTCAATCTGTACACCTCGATTCAACCAAAACCACCCAATTTATTCGGTTTTTTGTATAGACCAGTGATGCAGAGCTAAATTTTGTTTTTAAGGTCAGAGAATGACCAGTTTGATTAGAGTTTGAGGAAGGCAGGCCCAAGGGACTCTAAAAGACATCCAATAAATACGTCTGCAAGGCTTGACAGCGTGGGTAGATAGGAGGCCTCTTGCAACACGTGGATGTCATGTGTAGGCACACACCACCCTCGATCCCCAATTCACCAAATCTGACATTCACGTAGTCGAGGCGCGGGTGAGAGCGAGGGAGTTGCAGGCTTTTCGACTAATTGGCGCACCTCCCAACCCCCACTCCCCCCCCCTCACACACCACCCGTGGCAAATTTGTGCGCCCGATCTGGCATTTCCTAATCGAAAGATGGCATTTGCAATAACTCCCCCCACCCCCCATCGAATCCAATCGAAACGCAAACCTGTCGGTCAGTGCCGGTGTGGGAAATAAGTTGCTACGATGCGCACGTGGGTTTGGGTGTGTGTGTGTGTGTTTTCTTTCCAACTGAGGTCAAGAATCAAACCTCGGAGGTCCATGCGAGGTCTGGTGGTGGGTGGCAGACGTGTCGGTGGACGCTTGTCAGGCTTACACATGGCAGAAGCATGACTCACTGGCGCGTGGAGTCGATCACGGTCTACGTCGAAGTCAAACGCTACACACTACACCTACTCGGGGTCTGATAAAGGAGTGGTTGGGGACTTACTGGGCATCTCCTGACCTCCACCGCTGGCGGTACTGACGCCTGATGGACATCCACTAGCTCTGGATCCACTCATTTCAATTCCAGGCCAGTTGGCATTCTTCGAGCGCATCTCTGTTTTTCTGGCGGAGTTGAGCATGGCCGGATTGTAGTGCCCGTAGACACCGGAGCTTGCGGAGTCGTAAGTAAAGATGCGCTGCACCTCGCCGAAGGGATTCGCGTGGCAGGGGAAGTAGGACTGGGTGTTGGGGCCCCACAGATCCACGTCTCCACTACTTCGATAGAATCGCGTTGGCAGCGACTGGTCCGTCGTCCCGGCGTGGAGGCCGTGCGTTTGAGGAGGCGCGTAGCCGTAAGGCGGGGCTACTGGATGTGACAGAGGGCTGTACAGAGTGGAATTCGAGTGGGCTGCCATTGGATGACTGCGGTAGGCATCTTCTCCGCCATGAGAGCTCGACGTCGCATCCCCACGATACCCTCCTGCGCTGGAAGAATTCGGGAAATGCGTGCCACTGAAGCTCTGGTGAAGGTCAAGACCCTGCAAAGGACAAATCATGGCTGCTAAAAGTTATAGTGCTTTCTCATCGTATTTTTGGACAGGACAGGCACTTCTAGGCAGTGCTGAATATTTCACATCTCCCCCCCCCCTACACGAGTGTGCACGAACGCGGATGTTTAGATGAATTTACGGTTGATAGTAAAATTCAACGTTTAGTCGCTGCCAACTCTCTCCCAAGTATTCCTGGCGCCATCAGAAATGACAGCTAGTAGAGATAAGAAGATCCTCTCCCCACTTCGGAGAGTGTGAAAACCGACATGGCTGGAGGACTGAGAAGTGTGTTTCACTTAGTCACGCGGAGTAATTTCGACCCTAGGAATTAGACGCCTTTCAGCTGTCAAGTAGTTGTAGTGTGTTTGGGGTGGGGAGAATTAGGTTGATCAGGGTTGTCAAATTTGAAGGTCAATGGCGTCTTGGGGGTGGGGTGGTCTTGGCAGTATTCATTAATTACAACCTGAAGGTGTCCATTTTAATCGGCTGCGTAAACGTTTTTATCCCCCCGAAATTCGTGAGACGAGGGTGTCAATCATCGTCCATATGCCCTCTGATTAAAACTCACCTGCTGAATCGTGCTCCCCGGCTTTTACTCACTCCCGGGGCGATTTAAACGCACCAATCACCTCCAACTCGCCAGATATATTCCACAAACTGGTGAAGTTGTGTCTCACAGAGCCATAACCGTAGAATCGCGATAAGTACGCGACACCCATAAAAGCCGCCCGTGACCCACAAATATGACCTAGTAGGGCGTGTTTATATTTACGCCCGCGGTTGACAAGCGGGGAAGAGGGTTACTAGGACATAATTATCATTGACCTCACAACGACCAGAGAGACGAGAAAAGAGGGAAGTGGATGTGGTGCATCTACCGTTATCTGCTGGTTGCTGTCAATCGCTTGTGATTGGTCAATTATGAATTGGAGTAGAACTCAGTTTTAAGGAATCGATAAACTGAGTCAATAATTGAGATGGGGTGACAGTTTCATGTCTACGTAATCCTGCGCGTACCAAGGAAAGAATTTCAAGAAAGATGAGAATTCGTTCAGCTTGAGCGATCAGGAGCACCATAAGCGTGTGAAATCTACCCTACTAATGTTCCAACTTGAAGGACACTGTGAAAGTAGGGAAAGGGGTGGTTACTGGACTGGTTACCCCAATTATGGGTCATTGTTACAAGCTTCGAGAGAACATTGTAAGCGTTCCACCTGTGTGTGTGTGGGGGGGGGGGGGGTGAATGCGTTTAAAAATGGTCGGATAAGTGTAACGAGGAAACGCGTGATGACGTCTGACGAACCTTAAAAGAAACATCTCACCTTATTCCCAGGCGAATTGGAATGAAGAAGTGGACATTAGATTCATCAGATAAAATGGACCAGAGAGAAATTTGAACGTGCGCCAAAAATGGTTAACCACTAAACACAGCGTGCAGACTGATTTGAAAATCAAAGAAGAGAAAAAGATGTAAAATCAGTCTACACAAATTCATTCTTTACGACTTGTTTTGAGGAATTTGTCGCAAATATACGAATTTATGGGTTCAGATGATTGACAGGTGTCACGTTTGGACTACAACACAAATATAATGTGCGCGCACTGCTGCTTGCAGTTTCTGATTTGTGATTAATTTTTACATCAGGCGAATTAGACGAGGATTCTCAACACACTGTTGCACTTTTCTGCTTCCGTAAACTCAGGAAGGCTGATGAAGGTCACAAGGAGGCACTTGAGGCCTTAACTGAACACACGTGTCACTGTTTGTTTGCACAGTTGCATTCTAGAGATTTCTTCACCCAACATTCACCAGCTTCGTTCTCGTTGAATCGATGAGGCACATTTTTACAAGGTCGATCCTAGGACTTTGCGGGAAATTGCAGTGTGTGGTCAGAAGTTGCAACACAAGCACATCACTCATGAAATCGGTTAAAACGTGTTTCAGTCGTGTTTAGTAACTGTACTCTCAGATTCCACATGATTCGACAGAAGGTCGGTAGACACAGCCAATGAGTGCACGTCGTGTGCATCTCAAGCACAACCAACGCATCCTTTGCTTTCGATATAAACCATCACTCACCAACTGCGCCATCACCAACAAACAATTATTGTGGCTGCAGCGTGATGAGCACGCACAATCCGTGCCGCAAAATGATTTGTATCACGAGGTGGAACATGAGGTCAGCTCTGTGGAAGAGTGCATCTTGAGCAGCCTCAATGAACCAAGTGGTCAGATCACGTGTTTACTCTCGACAAATGACGAATCTTGATGAGATGTCAACCAATGAAAAGCCACAGGAATGCGCCAATCATGTGGAAGTCTTGTGGCACCTAGACAATGCATGGCTTCACAGCCACACGCACCCACACCCACCCACCGGGGTCCGGTAATTCATGGAAGATTGTTGTGTCATCGTGCAGAAGCGTTGTGGCTGATGCCTCCATAGACATCTCACCCTTCACCACTAGACTGCTGTTTGCTCCGTAGTCTACAGAATTCGTTGAATGCTTGCCAATGATGATGATAGTGATGGCCTGAAATCGTATTTGGCCCGGTTTCTGATAACGACCAGATAAATTCTGTGTTTGTAGTATCGTGAATATGCCAGAAAGGGTCCAAAACGCCATCTGACCACGTAAAAATATGTTATTTTATAAAATTCATCATTTCTGCACACAGACGGATAGTAATTTTTCCATGCGTCTGTAGTTTACAGCGTTATTCATAGCTATCTCGAGTCTGAAATTGCACTTTTCCCAAATAGGTCTCATTTAAACAAATGCGCAAGCATAAATCAGCGATTTTTTGACAAGAATTTGCTGGAGAAGCAAGTCATTGTTAATTACAATCGGGTTAGCACTTCTTCCCTCCTGCCGTCATTAGCTGAGTCGCTTATTTTGTGACATTTTCTGTCAAAAGTGCCCATTGAGAGGGTCGAGTCTTCACCAAAAATGCAGATTTTCTTCACAACAAATCACGTGCTGGTGTGATGGTTCAGGAACAAACTTCCAACTATGAAGGGAAAATTTGTCAAATGATTAAAATGGCCGTAAAATTTGCCTGCTTTCTTTATGAAAAAAATCATCCAAAGGTCATGATATTCTAGGAATAATTTTAGCGCAGTCGATTTCTGTGGTTTCATCTTGTCCAATCACTTATTCATTTTACTTTTAGTTGTTCAACTCCCCCTGTTCCACGATGGTATCGGCGCACTGTCCACAAACCGACGCCAACGGTGATTCAACCAAAGCAGCTCCAGCTTCAGGAGCGAGCCCCCTTCAAACTTTTGATATTCCCTCTGGGGATACGCCCCCAACCCTCGCTAAAATCCCTCCTTTTACCACGTCAAAGTTGGACGACCCACCACCGCCGCCGCCTTCGGCACCGGACACCCCCATTCATCCAGGTCAGTCTCCCCCGAAACCCGATGTCCAGGTCCCCGGGTACGCGTCTGAAGTCCACGCCTACCAGAGTCAGCGGCTACAACGCGGTCTTCAACAGGAGGGACAGTTTGGAACTGATCTAAAGAAGGACACCGAAGCCCTGCATAAGTGAGTTGGCCTTCAAGAGATCCATAGCCTTGTCACCGCCCTTTCAAACTAGCTGATCCATACTGGATTGTTGAAGAAATTCGTTATGGACAAGCCGTAGTTCCAGCTTTAAACTAGGCTGGTCTTGAGGAGCTATAACAAAAATGACACAGATCAATAACTTGCGCGTTTTTGGCCGATCTAGCTAGATTCCCCATTAGTGATTTCCTTCACAAATCGATCGCACTAGTTTAGTTCCTGTTGCTAATTGTAACAATGACAGCCAAATCAGTGAGTGTTCGTCTGTCTTCTTTACCCCACAGTCACCCCTTGTTCCCGCTGCTCGCCTTGATATTCGAGAAGTGCCAGCTTGCCACGTGCACGCCTAGAGATGGCAGTCGCGGCGGCGCAATGGATATCTCCTCCTCCGACTCATTTCAAGAGGATATTGCCGTCTTCACAAAAGAGGTTTGTTCCTGCCTCCTCCCTCCCTCCCACCCGCCCTGACTCCTTCGCTTTGTTCTCTCCCCTACACGTCTGAGTTAATTAGACGTGACATGCGCGTGGCTAGCGGTTTGGGACAGCAGGCATTTAGTGGAAACACCACGTGCCGAATTTCATTCAGATCTGACCAGAATTCGACGCCTTGGGTTGTTTTATCCGTTTCGTGTTCCCAATCCTTGTAAACCAGTCTAGACTAGACTAGACTTCAAATATCCACCTTGGACGGTGGTGGTGGTGGTTGTGTTGGTGGTCACCTCGTAGAACGGCATGTCACCAGAAGCCAGGTCAGCTGTGTGGGCCGTATAAGTGGTCTATTTACAGGGATAAATGTTGGATTTTTTGTGACCCAAGGGGGTGCAGTGGTAGTTTTGTGGTACCTCCACCTCCACTGCCGCCTAAACGGAAGGAAGAGCTTGCGTTGGCGGCGGCGGCGGTGGTGGTGGTGACAGCTTGGACTCTCAACCACTTCGGAAGCTTCCTGAGGCACGCACGAAATGACTGAGGTGAAAAGAATCCACAAAATATGGCCAATTTCTCCCCTTTTTTCCCGAAATTCCAGTTTTGCCCTCTGATAGACAGGTTAACCACTGACGCCGCCTTCCATGGGAGTCTATCACGTGACTGGAGTTGAGTGCGAATCCTACCACGTTAAAAATTGTTTGGAAGCGGCGAACAGGGGGCATAGCACTTTCTCAGGAACGAGCTCTAGTGCCTCCTGTCCAGCTTCTGGGTCCACCCCACTACTCCCCCCTCTCCAACCTTTAAGGTGACTCATTTTTTCGCATTACTTGATTAAAAACACACTCATCAAATGGTCAAACCACCACAGCCGAGTGGATGTCATTCTGAGTGAGGTACGTAAATATCGTTTATCCACTTCCCCTTTTCGTCTAGGTATGTATGCCAGTAAGTATTATCGATTGCATTAGCTCCGCGACTGTTCCATTTGCAGCGGCTGGCTGAATAGTGCGAGGAAACGAGAGAGAAAGAGAAAGAGGTGTCTAATTCCCCCACCCCCTGGGGTTTCAAGCTCCCACCCCTAACTCCCTCCACCTCCCCTCCTTCCCCTCCTCCTCCAACACATTTTCTTTCTCACCTGATTACGCGTGCGTCCCCTCATTAATGGAGAGAACTGCACTAAAACACCCACTCTTGGTGTTGTTGTTTACCATCGACATTAATGACTTGAACCTCGCTTCTGGAGATGGTTGTCGTTGATAGCGTTGGCTCGAGGCTGTGCTCTGTCGAAGGAAGTAGTGGTAATCAGGTCACGGAGTTTGTTTCGTTTTGAGTCATGAAAGAGGAGGCAGTGGTCTCTCCACGTGGAATGACTCTGTCAAACACGTCTCCCGAGATTGTGCCTTTGCTGGCGATTAAACTTTCCACAACAGACCTGCTTTGCCAAGTGCTCATGCACTGCCGCAGCTAAAACAGCAATTCTTCCAGGAGCACCGATATTTGAAGGGAGATATAACACTGTTTGCAGAAACTGGGAAATAACGGCTATCACTTTAAGTCCGGTGTGTGTGCTTGCGTGAATTACAGGAAAGGCACTGAACAAATTGGCCAATATGCGATTTTTGAGACAATAGGCAGAAGCAGGCCAGTCGAAAAACTTGATATTTGGACAGGTAGTTGGGAGCACATGAATTATCCATGCAGCTGTGTGGAGCAAGCAGATTTCCCCACCACAACACCAAGTGACACTTTGTGTTAGACTGCCTCATTAATTATGTCCACAACCTCCATCGCTCCCCACCAACGCTGATTGCTCAGCATCAGAGTCAGGTATGAAAAGCAAAACAACCCGGGCGCGTAATTCAAAGTTGCCGCGGTTTTTGGTCAACCTGATAGTAGTTTGACAAAATTTCCGTTCACATTGCTGAGATAGGTGTCAATTTATCCCTTGTGCCATCATCAACCTCCTTACCGATGCTCAGAATGGAGAAGGCGGCCAGTGATTGGTTGGATTAAATTCACGAACTAATTTGTGCGAATCGGTAACTCAAATTCGAATTGACGCCAAACTGCCTTGGCCAATAGGAGCAAAGTTCATGAGCATCGTTCGGCAGTACGAAAACCGACCGTGCACCAACCACACAAAATGGCCTCTATCATTAACATCACCATCATCATCGTTACAAGTTGGGGGAGAATGCATTGAATTCTGCAAAGCATTCTAAACGCATAGCTGTCTGTGGTGTGCGCAAAATTCAAAAATTAGAATCGCCATTCATTAAAACATTAAAGTGACCGACGAAAAAGAAATTGTTTTTTTTTAAACAAAGGTCTTACTTTGAGAACATTTGCTTCTAACTGCGCCTTACGTTCGCACCGTATTAATTACATCTCACGTGTAGGTTTATTAAATATATCCCTAACCTCAATTCTTCACAATGCAAACACACTGCATCTCAGACGAAGACGGCGAGTTACGAAGATTGATTATACCTGTCAAGAGTGGCTCTCCACCAAACCGTTGAGAACACCAAGGGGGCAGCCGGGACTGTTGGTTTGTAGGCCGGACAATGGGTCACATGTGGTTTATTTAAACAAACAATCGCAAGGTAGTGGAGGTAATTAGAAGCGTGTGATTGGTTATTAATTTCCATTTTTTTTCCATTTGACAAACAGATGAACAACGCGAATAAACCCTTCCTCACCGCAAACCAGGAGTTGAATTTCCTCGTAAGTCGAGCAAGTTTGTTTCCAAACACTTTGTGGTTGCAATTTTCAACATTCGATGCGTGCCTTGTAGATGATCCAAGCAATCCATGTGCTACGATTTCACCTACTCGAGATAGAAAAGGTAAGTACATCTGATTAGTTTTTTATTTTGTGAAAATTTGGCATCAAGAATCGAGATTTAAGTGGCAGCTATGTGTAATTCAACACAGCCATGTGTGGCTACCAATCAAATTGCGGCCTTCTTAGATCAATTAAGATGAGTTAGAGGTCGTTGCTCACACCTGGTCACAATACTCAAATTTCGGCAGCCATACACCTGTTCTTAGTCAACGCGTGGTTGAGACAATCATTGCGCGTGTCCTTTCATTGGGAAGTGATGAATGTGAAATGTTCGTGTCCCCTGTCTACACCCACCTACCCTTCCCCCACCTACCTGCACGTCAAACTTCTTCACCCAGCAAAACTGGCACTTCAGTCACACACACAGAAAACATTTACACACACACACACACACAATCATCACAAACACATACACGCTCGTGCTTTGCCTTGCCCGCTGCACGCAAGAAGTCGATTTCAACTGGCACTGCTCCCAACCCCGCAAATTAATTTGACCACGCCAACCAACAGCGCATCAAGACACGCAAAATGCCGAGCACTTGGTCAACACGGGTGCCATTGTCGATGTCTACAGTCCACACAGACAGCCCTACGTACTTGGGTAGAACAGCATCGGATCGGTCAATTGGGGGTGCTTATTAAAATACGCTTCAGCCAACTACTTCGAAATGGCTGCTGGGTCAACTCTACCTACAGCCACTCGAAAAAGTGCCAATTTCCCACACAATTGTACCCTCCACTCCCTCTCACACGATTCCAGAGCGGGTTCACTGTGGGGCACCGTCAACGCGCCAAGGTCATCCCCGTGACCAATCAGAATTGGGGAGAGGGTGCAAGTGGTAGTTCTGGTTCTATATGCCATCTCGGACCCACAGTTTCAAGCCGGGAGGTTTCGTTTTGTTGTTCAAATTGGTCTTTTGTGTGGATGAATCGGAATTCCAGATGAACCCACCAACTCAAACATCTGCTTCGAGCACTGAAGCAGTCAAATTGACATAATTTCGTGAGGATGTGAGGAACGTCTGACACATCAGCACGCAAGCCTACCACAACGTTGGAGGGTACTCGAGACACGCGTTTTCCAAAGTGGTGGACTTTATCGAAATTTGGCTTACAT